GTCACAAGTTGGCGAAAGCTTCTAGCTCTCGCTGTTCGTAATGTGATCCGATCGTTCCATTCTTCTGCTCTTTTATTGAAATGGGCCGTCATGAGGCAGCAACTAAAACCGGCGCACGAAAGTATATCTGATGCAAGAGGGACTCTCTTGAGAACTATTTCGCTAAATCTGGCTTTCGGTACCGATTTGAGGGATGTTCCTATCTGTTCAACGATGCCATTCGATTTTAGTGTCGATATACTCATGGATGTTGCCGCGATTCGTCTGAACAATTTGATGTGCTCGATGCACTACCGCTGGCTTTTTTATGATAACAGCAACCAAAATCGGCGCATGAAAGTGTGTGCTTACTGGTTGTAAAAACTTCCCCCCGACTTCCCCCAACAACACCTCCAGTGGCGATCAAGCTTTCGAGGTACTTAAAACTCAATTGCTTCCAGTTGGTCATCATAGAGGGTAAGTGTAGTCACAGGTTCCTGCCAGTCTTGATCAATTACTTAGCACTCAAATAATGCAAACCATATACCATATCTGGTTACGTCGATCGCCAAGCGGTTTAAAGTGTGCTGGACTGCCTGTGTGTTGTCGCCTAACAAGGTGACGTTATTTTCAAAGTCGAGAGACACTCGCCCTGGGGAGAGTTCGACTCCACCGTTTGCTAGACCGGACAAAGCATTCTGTAGGACATCCAAAATTGAAGAGAAATAATGATATTGGGCAGCTTTATCGCATTCCACTGGAGACGGCAACGGGTGGCGAAAGCTGACCACAGGCCCTGACCTGACCTGAGGTATGACGCACACGTCTAGTCACAGCGCAAGCGCTGGGCGTGGTGATCTAATTAAGGTTTCATAGGTAGATGGCGCAGCTGATTGTAAAGCGATATAGCGCCAATGGTTGACATTTAATTTTACTCACCAATGTTTCTCGGTTTCGTTTTCGTCTGGCTCCGTATCTCGCCTATCCTATTGGGGCAGTTTGGTTCGTTATTCCAGGTCCTAGAGCTTGGCCTACCGGATCCCATCCTTTTTATTTGTCTCACCAGTATGTGGTAAAACATAAGAAAAATAAGTGGCTTCATCTTTTACCGGCCGATGCAAATGGAAAAAATACGTCCGTGGTGCTTTTTTTGAAGTTGTACCGCTCGTCTACTTTTGACTTTATGGGTGTCGTTCGTTACACGCAATATCGTGTTTGTTACATTTACTCAAAAATGAGCGCGAACTTGTTATTTTAATTTTTACGTTTCGCGTTCGTCTTATGTTGTTTCCAGGTTCAATTACCAACCCCATTAACGCGGGTCTACCAAATATCACAGTAGCCAACTCATCCAATCCCAGTCATTGCCAAACGTCTTTAGTTGGACCGATTGGCAGCCCTCCAAACGGTGGAAGTGGAGCAGTGCTTCAAAATGGAGGTCAAAGCCTATCCATCCCCAACAACAGTGGACTCAACAGCCTAAACACAATATCCGCCGCCCTGCCCTACAGCAATAGCAATGGCCCTAATGGCACATTGCATGGCAGCAATGGAAACGGGGGAAGCCAAAGCGGGAACGGCTCATCGCCACCTGTTGTTGGCAGTGGTGGAGACGGACCTTCGTTGAATGTGGGTGGTACTGGGGGATCTGGTAGCAGCGCCGGTGCCGGTAGTAATAGCAGTGGATCAGGAGCCGGTGGTGGTGGATCCTGTGGTGGATCAGGTGGATCCGGCGGAAGTGGCATTGGAAATTCTGCTCCCACGCAGCAGCATTTGGTTCAGTTTGAACCACCCCCTCGACCTGGTCGCGGCTCCGAGGGTCGGTGCATCAGTCTTCGGGCAAATCACTTCGAAATTCGTGTACCCAAAGGATTTTTACATCACTATGATGTATCCATCACTCCTGAAAAGTGTCCACGTCGAGTGAACAGGTATGCTCTATGTTGCCAAATAATTTGTTCTTCACCGTAATCAAAATTATCCAAATGTGTTCATCCGGAAGCGAGTCTGACCTAATTAACTAGCCTTTGTAGACCCCATATATATTTGAAATAACTGACACCCTCTATGATCTAATCGAACACTCCTTCGGTGTAGTATGATGCTGACGGTATTATTTTTCTTCTTAGCCTTACCGTAAACATCTTTAAAACTTGTTCCTTCGATCGATTATTTTAAACGGGGTGAATTGTGGTACTTCAAGCAACCACCTGTTAAAATAAGCTACCCACTCTTATCAAAATGACCGATTCTTAGCATATAAATATCCCGAAAGTAAATCACATTTGCATTACTTCAATGAGGCTTCATTTATTTTCGGTTTTACTTTTTAATTCCTTGAGTCTGTCATCAAGAGATAAGGTTTTAGTTACCAGTTCGTAGGAGAAATACTAAGAGAGGAAAATTGCGACGCGATGGTGTACCTCAACTACAAAATTTGGAGCTGATGAATCAATGAGCTCAAAATCCACTGTCCTCAATACCTGATCTTGTTGCTGGGGTTTATGTTCACATGTTGCATAGATCACTTTGGTGATTTGAACATATCGATCCGACGTCGTCCGGCAGTGTCAGGGAACATTGTTGCTGCAAGGTTCGCCCTGAGATACCATGGGTTTCAGGCCGCTCTAAGTTTTCATTAACTCCAATTCAAAACAACCATTTCAAATTATTAGCACAGTAGTCCAATGGTAAAGGGCCTAAATACGATATTTCTTCCTAGCGTTTACTAAAAGAACATACGATCAAAAATATATAGTATCGCGACAAAAGCATACTAACCCCCTTACTGGGGTTCACTTCAAATTATGGCATAGAGCACTCCAAGAAATGGATACACTTCAGAACTTCTTGCCGGTTGACAAATATTCTTGTTTGGAAGCTGCTTCAAGCTCACTCTTCGGTTCAATGATGGAATGTCCCAAATGTTCCATATTGGATCAGAGCCATGCACCAGAGACAACGGCGAAACAAAATCTTAGCATCGTCCTGTGCTCTCAGCCTGCGCAGAGAAATAAATATGAGAGGTGTGCAGCAAACAGCCTGTTTGCGAAAAACCGAAACGTTTTCAAACAGTTTGGTCTTTTGCAAAATGCCGACACGAAAACCAAATACATGGACTGGCTTTCACACTAGTTGGTATTCTCCAGCCGTTGTTCTTGGTTTTTGTATAGATTTGCAGCTGCGTCCAAACGGATATTTATTTACTCGGTTGTAGTCAAATTTCTTATACAGTGCTTTTCATCCACTTCGTCTTCACGTGCATCAGGTGCAATATAGGGATTTTATTACGTTTACTTTGATATGGGTGCCTGCAGCAGGATGAACTGGCTTCATGAGCACTCCGCCGAAGCACAATCCATGGGTTGGTTCTTCTGCCATAAAAATGTTTGTGCTATGCTTCCTATGACAGCCCGATGCCAGCAAAATGCGGAATACAATCCGTCGCATCCGTTATTGACGTGTTCATGATGTTTCTCTATCATCATTCAGACCCTGTTTTTTGTTCAGCTCTGCAGTAGTTCGTGTATCGGTTTGACTCTCCGACAACAATATATCGGTTTTTATGCAAGTTTTTCAACTATGCTTTCTTAATCTGTAACTGGTTAGAGGCATTTGGTGCTTTTGCTGAGTGTCGTAAACAGTGGTGCTCGTGCATTGTTCTCGTAACCCTAGCCTCTATTTTCACTTTCAGACTGCTCTCAGCATTTCAATCTTCCTTTGACTCTGAATGGGTAGCTAAAAGAATGCTACTGAAACCACCGTACAAAAGTGGTTAATGGTTGTTCAAACTGAAACTGTAACGAGATAATTCTACTACGATCATTCGATTGTCTCTGATTTAATTTAATATATACACTAACTCTTGAAGTTTTTTCACATTCCAGGGAGATAATCGAAACTATGGTGAATTCCATGCATTATCAGAAATATTTCTACAACCAAAAGCCAGTTTTTGATGGTCGTCGGAATATGTACACTCGTGATCCACTTCCGATTAGTAAAGAGAAAGTAAGTGATTGATGGCAATCTTCCTTTTGTGTTGGCTCATTTCCGTTACCTATCAACGCCATTAACTTTACCACTACCGCTTTTTCGGTGAACCAAGAAGAAATGAATGGTAGTGAATACAAGTATCAGATAGAGAGGAAAACGAATTAATTGATAAGTATGCTTTCAGCATCAGTACACGAAAAATCGCCTTAGCTGGATGAACCTCCTGAGGCCCGAAGTGGGATGAGCATAGCATCAAGCTACATGACAGCAAGTGTGCCTAGAACCCCGACTGACGATAACCAATGTTATTAAAACACCAATGTGTACGATACTAGATGATATCACTGAATGTTTCTTGTCGGTTCTCATAGATGCGGAGTGGCTCTTTCTCCTACAGTGCAATGACGCCTTATTCGGTGATGGGTTAGATTCGCACGTGTCACAGTTTCTACGGCAATTTTCGTCCTTTGGTTATAGAGCTCTTTCCAGGCGCAAACCGGCACATCCTCGAACATCACCGCTGGTCGTCCGTTACAACTTATTTAATGATGCAGTCCCTATCCGTTCGCGGTTTACTGTCTAAGTAGGCATTGGTTTATCCTCGACCTGCAGACGCACTCGCTAGCGTACTGCTCCACCAGCCTACCGCTTTCGGTAACTGATTTGAGTGACCGTTGTCAGCATCGCTTTTTCATGTCACGGTTTTATTCATAACGAGCTTTATTGTGAGCTCATTAACATTGGACACACTTTTAACTGGCGTTTCCATTGCTTATGAGGAATTCTTCATCTTATCGCATCCGGAATTTTCCAAACACAGGTGGAACTGGAAGTCACACTACCCGGAGAGGGAAAGGATCGCGTATTCCGTGTAGCCATCAAACATGTGTCGGAAGTGTCTCTTTTTGCGTTGGAAGAAGCATTGGGTGGTCATATTCGTCACATTCCAAATGATGCTGTGATATCACTTGATGTGATAATGCGGCACCTACCTAGTATGAGGTAAGTCCAGTCTAACTGACGTAGCAGAAAGTGTAAACTGAAGAAACTTCAGAGTGTAGGAATTCATCGTTGTAGACGATAAACTAACACAAAAAATATAAAGTGTACGATGAGATGAACAAGAAAATTGTTCTTGTTATTTGACTTAACTGTCATGACTTAACTGCTATGTACGCCAACCCACCATGTTCTGTTATTCTTATTGTTGCGTTAGCACAATGCTTGCTCGGAAGCCGGTGATAAATAAGTATAAATATACGTGACGTAGCTTTCCATCAACACTTTAACGCTAGTCTGGTATTTCAGCTGATTGTAATGTCACTGCCACTTGCTGTTCTGCAGTTACACTCCAGTTGGCCGTTCGTTTTTCCAAAATCCCGATGGTTACGAAAATCCTTTGGGCGGTGGTCGTGAAGTCTGGTTCGGTTTTCATCAAAGCGTCCGTCCATCACAGTGGCGTATGATGCTGAACATAGATGGTAAGCCAAAAATTAGATTTTATCTCCTAAAAGGGTTATATGAACTCTGCCCTATTGTGCAAGCATAATGAAATTAACGAAACGTTATTCGGTTATTTTGTTTTATTACATTTACTTTCACCGTAGCCGCAAGGTTTTTTTTCACATTTACGATGCTCATAACTGCCGTATTTTTCCCCATTCAGTATCGGCCACCGCCTTCTACAAGGCGCAGTCGGTGATCGATTTTATGTGCGAGGTGTTGGATATATCAGATAAAAGTGAACAACGGCGTCCACTCACCGACAGTCAGCGTGTCAAGTTCACAAAGGAGATCAAAGGTACGTACCCCTATAGTGTGCACACCACTTTCATTTCTATTGGTGATTGATTGTCACACCAGTCTGTGGGACTTCTGTTGTGACCCACGGATAACGGTACGACCGGACAAGCTTTGGACCGTGATCCCAAAGGAAACGTGATAGAACAATCCCCCGATTAAGAACCACACGAATACGCCCAATAGTGCACGTTCCAGGCCAGATAGCAATACCTAACACAATTCTTAAGGGAACCGTAAGCGCCCCGCGAAATTAATACGATCCCAGAACCCGACCAGGAAGCACACAGAAGACAGACGTTCAGGCGGGGTTGCCGATTTGGCTCGACCCTAAGAAGATGACAGTAGACAACTTATCTTCTTATATACATTTTCGGGGACGGTCATTAGTGACCCTTAAATTAGCTTAAAAATTGAAAGTTCTGGGAAAGTGGACCAATCAAAAGCAAACATGACCGGTTGTGTGGAGTGAGGCTTTTTGGCGCGAGAACTTGGAAATTCAAAATTTATAAAAATAATCAGAAAAACAACCAAGAGGAAAGAAAAAGGAGGATAAAATGGACCTTTTCCTGTCAACTTCCCAAGTTTGTTCGTTGAGCTCGAATAGGGAACTCTCAGAACTAGTTAGTAAGGTAATCCAAATTTAGTCAACTGTTTTCTCAGTCATCTTTTCATAAGATCAAACTCTAGGTTTTGCTCGATTGGGTTACTTCAGGTAATCCCCACGGGGTATTCGTTTCACATATGCGTTGACTGTAAGCTCCAAGAACATGACCAGTTTATGGCGAGTAAACCGCGACTGCGTGTACGGTACATTTTAAGTGCATTTTTAATGCACTACTGTCGTTAATCAGGAGTATGTTTTGCTTGAGATGAATTTCAAGCTTGTTTTGAAGGATCATTGATTTTCGCATTGTTCATCATTTTAAGATACTGTTTTGGAAAGTAATCCGACTNAATCCGACTACATTTTTACCCCTAAACGACTATTTACTGACTGCTTGATTCGAACTGATCATTCAGCCTTCACCTTCATACAATCCTCAGCTCTTCCAGTCGACCATACACGGGAGCACTAGACTCTAGTTTTGCTATTATTAGCGCTCATCA